ATATATATTAGTATTATAATATTTATGATAAATTAATAACAGTACTATTATATATTTATAAATATTAATACTTTCATAAATATAAATTAATATATAGTAATATGCTTTTACAATAATATAAATATCTATAACAATATATAAATGGGATATGTATCCACTTTTCAAGGAAAATTATATCCTTGTATTGTATTTTATTTTCTTCTACCAATTTATATTTAAATATGAAATAGGGAAAATATATATATAAAAATAATTGTTCTTTTTAAAAATAACAACTACTCACTTTTTAATAGAAACACTAAATTTTCTTATTAATATTACATAAGATAAATATATTAGAAAAAAAGTTAATTACAAAATTGATACATATCATACTATATCAATAAAAATTATTAAATTTTTAATAGAAGGGTCTAAAATCACATAATTGTGATACTTGAAAAACTAAAATTATTAAATTAAGAATTGAGTTATCAAAATCGCATAATTATAATACTTTAGAGACTAAAATTATTTATTTATAACTTAAAAAATTAAAATTATATAAATATGACACTTAAAAAACCAAAATCACATTTAAGCCTAATTTTTTTTAAGTAACACGAAAAAAAATATTCTTTATATATATAATTTGGTACATATTGTATCAGTGAAGTACACCTTTTCATGTGTTTTAAGAAAATCAAAATAACATGTAATAAATTTAATTGAAAAAATTGATGATAATGTAAAATAATTTATTTATGAATTATCATATAATTTAAAATTATTAAATTTTACAGTAATTATGTTAAAAACTATATTTAAAATAATTTCTAAATAATTAATGATATAAAAATTATTTAAGGTACTCAATTTTATATATTAAACATAAATTTTTATTTAATACAAGAGTATTTTTTAAAAATTTTGTTAGACGATAACTTTTTAAGAATTTTTTTTATCTAATTTAAATTTTATTTATCATAATTACTTATGAATTTAGATTTTAATATTTTTTTAAAAACAAATGAAGTCATATATATATTAAACACGAATCTCTATTTAACAAGAGATTATCTTTAAGGTTTTTTAATGAAAAAATATTTAGAATTTTTTTATTTTTTTAATCTAATTTTTATTTATAATAATTATTTATAAATTTTAATATTTTAAAAATAAATTATCAATAAATTAATAAAAAATAATATTATACAAGAATATAAATTA